TCCTCTGTTTTCTCAAAGGGGTCTCTACCGTGCCTGTCCATACCTCCCAAAAACCGTGGTGAGAATAATCTCTCTGACCTGGAGGAACCTTTTCCCCAACAGACACTGTGAACATCACCCAGTGCATATTGTGCTGAAACGGGTGTTGCTGGAGGATGGAAGATACTGGCCCCGATTGTCTTGGACTTCAGGAAGCTGTAAGCTGTCTCTTTTCCTGCCGTGGACGATATTTCTATGCTTTCTGAGTCTTTCCTGTCCTTTAATAAGAAATTCTACTCTTTGAGACTTTCACTGATGTTTCTTAGTATCGGCTACAATGGTATTTCTAAGAATGTGAATTTCTGGAATACACCACACCTCGGTTCAATGGTTGACAGGAAGAGCGAGGTAGGGTGTAACTGTGCACGTGAACCTCTGGCTGAACATCCACTCTTTTTGGGTCCAGCTCCCTGTGTGGGCACAGAGCAGCTCAAAGCAGGAGCTCTTGCCACGGTCTCTGAGGAGGAGAGTCTGGCTTGAGTTAAAGTGCCATTTTACCGTTTTAATTAGAGACCTGCCACCCCATGTCACTGGCTGGAGCTTATCTAGAGCCTCCGTGCTTTCTCCCCTGAACTCCGAGTGCTCCCAGTGAGCTAGCGCAGAGGCTCATCCTCACCACAGAGCTTGTTGGTCCTTCTGCCTGTCTCCAGTCTCCCACCAGACCGTCCTACGTCTTAATCTCTTTTCCATGCCAAGTGGGCTGCAGCAAGACTTCACGGTATTGCCAGTGACCAGCTACTCCCGTTTTCCAACGTGTCCTATAGTCTGGTCCTTTTATTAACCGCACTGAGAGCTAGTGAAGGTTAAAATGCTCTTGGAAGGCTCCGAGCTTGCTTTAACCACAAAAGCATTTGAAGCCAGTCAGAGCCTACTAGGAGACAGGGAGGGTGATGACAAAAGCCACTCTACTAGTAGGTGGAGGTTCCTGGAGAAACTGCTACCAGTGGAGTAAATCTGTTCCTTTGGGCCTGGGAGGAAATGTCAGTGTAGCCAGGACTTCTGCTCTGGTCTTAGTTCAGCTGTGCTAAAAGAGGCAGATGCGTTCTTGTTGGGAGCTGGCACAGGAGAGCAAGCATTGTCTGTTCCACAAATGAGAAGAGGCTTTTCCAGCTGCCCTGGCACTGGAAGACTTGCCTCTTAGTCACGATTGACTAAGCCGTGGCTGCTTTTACTGGGGTGAAGCAGGGACCGAATGTGATTAAGCGTGGTCTGGGCTCTCTTGAAGGAACTGAGGACTATTGGGAAGGATTAGGTCGTGGTGCTGGTGTCTGCTTGGCCTCAGCAGGCTGAAGACCTTTGTCCTGCTGTGGCTCTCCTGTTATCGTAAAGGTTTGAAATGCTGTCGCAGTGGAAATTTGAATGAGGAATGTCCCCTCTTGCACATGGTAACTCCCCCTCCTGCAGGGATGAACCCTTCTCTGACAGCAAGATTTAAGTAGTCTTGATAGGTGAAGTACTCTTCCAGACAGTCGGTGCTGGGCCTCCTTAGAGGCACTAGCATTGGGACTATGGGCTGTGTGTTTCCCCAGAAACAAGCAAGTGAAGAGGTATAAATAAAATGGGGAGATCCATGCTTTGCACTCTGGCAACAGGAGCCCGATGTGGTGTCTTTTTTGCGTCCATCAGTCTCAAAGCAGGAGCTTTTCATGCGTGAAAATGAACAGACTTGGGCTGCTCTCTCCAAACCTGGCTTTGGCTTTCATGCTGAGCTGGACTGGGACAGTACGGGTGAGCTCCATGCGACTCCAGTAAGCCACGAACCAAGCTGCCATGAAGACCTGTGAACAGAAGAAGCTCCAGGCACTTTTCCTCAGTTCCTCTTGTACCGTTGACTTTGGCTGGGCTCCTTGCAAGTTGCAAATATCTTGCAGGGAGCAGGAGAGGTGTGCTAGTGTGCTGTGCAATAGCCATGCATGCCAGCCCCATTCCTTCATTGCAGGCTCAGTTGAAGCAATTAATTTGGTCTGGTCCCATGCTGTTGCCTTGCTTTGGTGAGGCTAATCCCATGTATGGTCTTTCCTGAAAGCTACTTTCATGTTTGAGGGCAGATGGTGGAGCTGGGAAACCCTCCTTCATCTGGCGCAGCTCACGGAGATGCATCTGGGTTACGGTGCAGATGCTTGTATTTACCAGGAACCGGCTGCTTGCTGCAAGAGACTTACCCTCAGTTCTCATAAACAGGCTCTTCTTGCTGTCCTGGAGATTGCAATCATCTCCATGGTGAGAATTGCACAAACAGAAGGGACGATAATGACCTTGTGGATTAAAGGGCAAAAGGAGGGTTCCTAGTACGCGAGGTTTGTGTTGATTGCCCCGGTTCTAGATTCAACGTCCCTGGAAGGGGAGGCTGCAAACACAGAAGGGCTCTCTTGCAAAAAATAGGAGGGCCACGAGGTGCACTACCCAGCCCTGCAGCACAGAGGAGGAGGAACTAAGGTGTGGATTTGTTCATGGATGTGCCCTTTGAGCATATTTGAGAGGCACTAAGCCCATCTAATAAAAACTACCGAAATCTGCCTTTAACTGGCTTTGCTTTGCCCTGCCTTTGATGTGGTTCAAAGGGAAACAGGGCTGCACTGTGTCCTCGTTGTTAGCCCGGAAACATAAAGACCAGCAGCATCCCAGCCAGCCTGACAAATGTGTGTGGAGCTTTGCCCTTCCTGGCCAGTCCCTGTGTGCTGGCCCCGAGTTCTCTCTCTTCAGTACTCAGGTACACGTGGGAGGCCTCTACCTCAACAGAGCTCCAACTCCAGACGTGCACAGCTCCATTCGAGTTCAGGCCTGATCTCGTTTGGTTTGGAGCGGCTCCTGCCAAGGAGCTTCTTCAGGTCTTTTCTGTTGTTTAACTTTGTAGAGTTAGAACTCAAGCAGTGAAAGCGAGGGCATGTAAAATCCCAAATGTCCTGCTCTTCCAGCATCTGTGCCCCTTCCCTGTGCTGCTGAGGGACATTTGCAGAGGGATGTTAGAATCGTAGAATCTTGGAACGTGTTGGGTTGAAATGGACCTTTAGCGTTCATCTAGTCCAATGCCTGCAGTGAGCAGGGACACCTCTAACTGGATCAGGTTGCTCAGAGCCCCACCAAGCCTGACCTTGAATGTCTCTTCTACCACCTCTCTGGGCAACCTGTGCCAGGGTTTCACCACCCTAATGGTAAAAAATTTCTTCCTTATATCCAGTCTAAATCTCCCCTCTTTTAGTTGAGAACAATTACCCCTTGTCCTGTTGCAACAGGCCTTGCTGAAAAGATTGCCTTCTTCTTCCTTATAGCTTCCTGTGAAGTACTGGCAGGAGTCCCTGGAGCCATCTCTTCTCCAGGCTGAACAGCCCAACTCTCTCAGCCTGTCTTGGTAGAAGAGGTGCTCCAGCCCTCTGATCGTTTTCGTGGCTTCCTCTGCTCCAACAGGTCCATGTCCTTCTTGTGTTGAGAGCTCCAGAGCTGGACACAGAACTGCAGGTGAGGTTTCACCAGAGCAGAGGGGCAGGATCACCTCTCGGTCTGCTGGCCACGCTGCTTTTGACACAGCCCAGGATGCGACAGGCCATCTGGGTTGTGAGCGTGCGTTGGTGGCTCAAGTCCAGCTCTTCATCTACCAGTACCCTCAAGTCCTTTTTTCACCTCATTCCCCAGCCCTGATGCAGGTGCAGGACCTTGCACTTGGCCTTTTTGAACCTCACGAAGTTCACAGAGGCCCACATGTCCAGCTTGCCCAGGTCCCTCTGGATGACGTGCCATCGCTCTGGCATATGACCTCACCACTCAGCTTGGTGTTGTCTGCAAACTTGCTGAGGGGGCACTTGATCTTCTGCTGACTGAAAAACCTCCCACAAACCAAACCTTATCTCAGTTAACGTTTTTCAGGTTGTCAGCTTGGTTGGCTTATGGCTCAGCTGATGGTGAAAGTGCCTAAGAGCACCACTCCTTGCTGGGGACACTTTTCCGTTCAGCTCCTTGTATTTACATGATGCTTGATCCCTTGCTTGGACCTTCTACTTGGAGAAGGCCACCAACCTTTCTTGTATTCCCAGTCTTCAGACCAGCTGTCTCTCACTTTCCTGGCTGGAGTGGGAGAACTGGGAGGTGACCTTTCCCTCTACTTGGCACTGGTGGAGGCCTCGCTTGAACAGAGTTCTGTGCCTGCTTTTGAGCTTCTCAGTGCTGGAGAAACACGGACATACTGGAGAGAAGGGCCACAGAGGGCTTGTGTTGGTGGAACTTGTGCCGAGCGCTGTCGTTCCAGATAGGATGTCCCATTTCTGTAGTGCCTACTTGGTTAGGGATGTCACAACATGGGCTAATGCAGAGAAATTTGTAGCTTTTGATGGTAAAGGTGTGGAAAAGCCTTCCACGTAGTTTCATGAGGGTGCGAATGAAGGTTGTGCCTGTTGTTTTTGGAAGGGAGTGGGGCTGAGGGTGTGAGGGAGCTGGAGCCAGGCTCCTCTTGGAGAAGTGTGTGGGGTTAGGAAGAGAGACAGTAGACGAATGGCCATGGGGGAAATCCTAATAGCTATTGGAAAAGACTTTTCATCGCAAGTGTGGTCAGACGCTGAAGCAGAGCGCCAGGGAGGCTGCGAGATACAAATCCTTGCAATTAATTCAAAGCTCAGCTGGACAAAGGCCCGAGCAGCTGGAGCTGGCCATGTTTGGAGCAGAACCTTGGGCCAGAGACTTCCAGAAGTCCCTTCCAATCTAATATTCTTCAGCGGTGGGTAGGAGATGCCCAGATAATGTGCTTTGGCTTAGCATAAATCACAGCCTGGGGCGGTGCTTGACTCCCTTTTTCTAAGCTGGTGTGACAATGAGACAGGAAGGAGGTACATTGCGAGTTCTTTGTGGGAAGGGTGGATCTTTCTGGAGACGTTCACAGGGACTGAAGACCAATGTGCCCATCTGGTGCCAGGTGCTTGGTTTTGGATTACTTGCATTTGTATTGTGACAGGATTCCTCTTGCATTTCTCCAGGTACAGCTACATGATTGACAACGTCATTCTGCTGATCACTGGGACTCTGCACCAGCGTTCCATCTCCGAACTGGTGCCCAAGTGCCATCCTCTGGGAAGTTTTGAGCAGATGGAAGCTGTGAACATTGCTCAGACGCCTGCGGAGCTCTACAATGCAATCCTGGTGGACACTCCCCTGGGTGAGTGAAGCCTTTCAAAATACCTCTCAGCTGCCTGTGAAGCAGATGTCCCTTTCTTCCCCAGCCTAACTAGATCCAGCTACGCCTGAGTTGTGCTTCAGGATCTGCTAGATATGTGCATTTACCAGCTCTTCTGGAAGTTGTCACCTGAAATTAGGGAGGAGAGAGTTTGAGAGGCCATAGACAATGTGATCTTTTTGGTAATTGTGGTTGGGCTTCCTTAGCGAAGAGCTGTTGAGCCTTTGGCCGCAACGAGTCACTTCACTTGCAGCACTTTTTATTGGACTGATAAAATTAACTCTAGATCAAGGAAAGCTCATTATGTAGAAGAAAAAAAACAAAATAACCCAGTGTCGAAACAATCCCAAACCAAACAACAGCAACAAACCCCAGAAATCTCCAAAAGCCTTTCTAAGTTCACCTGTACTGGGTTTTTAAGTTACACCCGTACTGGGGTGTACTGTCTTAGGGCTACAGGCCTTGGCCAGGAGGCACATAATGCTGAAACCATGTGTCTTATGAACAGCTAGTCAGACAGATGTGATCTTTAAAGATAAAAGGTGTAGGAAGTCTTTCTGGAGAAAATACGGAAGTCTTTTTGCAGTATTGGGAGAGGTAGTCACGGGAGATTTGCTAGTTTAACCTTTGTGGGCAAAAACATACTGAGGTACGCCTGAGTCAGTGGTTAATCATTCTTCTGAGGTTGCTAGAAAGAGTGAAATGCTCTAAATAGTCGTATTGGTTTTGAGAGAAATAGTTGGTTTTGGAGCTGAGAGTGCTTTTGCAAATGCTCCGTGTGATAATGGGGTGCATGAAGTAGTTGTCAAGGAACAATGACTGCGTAGATAAGAGCCCAGTAAAGGAGGGAAAACGTGTCTCAAGATCTGGGTTGCGAGGTAGGGCAACAACGCAGCAGGGCTGTGTGTGCAGCTGAGCTGAGCCTGCTGCAAGGATGATGTGTGGGAAGGAAATCCTCCTCAAGAGTAAGCAGGAACCTTTCCATTTGGGGCATGAGGTAGAACAGAGTATTTTAAAGAGATTAGCTTTCAGAGACCTTGAAGCTTCCAGCTGTGTATGGAGTGATAATGCCCCGTTACACCGGTGAGGCGGTCCTGGTGAGTGTGGCTTGCAGTTGGGAGTCTTTGCCTCCTGTGTTCGTGTATTTCTACACGAGTCAGCTCTGTCTGCTTCTGCCCTGGCTAGACTGACTTCTTCTTCATGCCCTGGCCATGCCCTTGAGGCTGTGTACCATCTCGGGTGGCATTTCTTCAGCGGGAGAGCATGGGGAGTAGCTGTGTTGCCTAAACAAGCAGGCACGCAGGCTCCAGTTGTTTAACTTGCCCTCTTTCCAGTGACCACACACAAAGAAACAGCAGCTCTATCTCCGAAAAGTACTCGAATAGCTACCTGGCTTGGTAGGAATGCCTAACCCCAAATGGCTTTCATAGGTTAGCAGGGCAAAATAAGACTTGCCGTTAGCCTAATTTGGGATATTGGAGGGCCAAGAACTGAAATAGCTGTGTTCTCATTCCTTAGCTACTCTGAAGTAGCCACTGCTTAGCTAGCTGGGCTAGCCAGCGAGTCCTGCAGTGAAAACCAGTCCTGCCACACGATTTTCATTTTTGCCAACCGTAAGGAGCAGAGTTCCTCCAGCTACGTGGCGGTGGTCTCTGATGCTGTTGCAGAGAAACCTCGTGGCAGGGTTTAAGGCCTGTTCAGGACTCTCTAGGCCCACGACGTGGCTGCTGTCTGTGCCAGGGAGCTCGTGCTGTGAAAATGGTGCATGCCGACAGCGTGAGCCTGCGTCGTAGCTGGTTTGTCACCCAAGGCAGAGCGTTGGTCACTTCTCAACTGGGACTGAGTAAGCTGAGGAAGATCGTATTTCGTTGGTTGCTGAGTGAGAGCTGAAGTCATAAAAGCCCTGTCAATGGGTTTTATTGTGCTCTTGCTAATAAGCGAGTGGTACGACAGACTTCTGTTACACTAGATGTACAAAACTTGTCTTTCCCTGCAGCTTGCAGTACCCCGGGTTAGATCTGAAATCTGTGTTCTTTAGGTGGCAGCAGCTACTATGACTCCCTCCCAGAGATTCTCTGGCAAAGTATGTAGGGCTGAGCATCCCACCAAAACCCACTAGTTCATCCTGTCTTCCATCACTTACCTCCAGTTAGAGAAATAAAAGTGATTGGAACAAGTGGAAAATGGGACTGATAGTTCTGACCAGGGGAAGCAGCTCCTAACTCCCACCGTGGAGCGTCATGGGCTGGGGCATCCTCAAGTCTCCTTAATCCAACTCACATATTGGAGAGGAAGGGAGAAGCTCCAGATTCCTCAGGACTCAGAGGTGCTTTAAGCGGTGCTGCTGTGCCGTAGCAGGCGTTTCAGAAGCTGTCTTGTCACCTCTGAGTGCCTGCATCTGGGAACAGTTTGGGTTTTGCTTATTTTAAAATACAGGCTGCTCTGGCACTGACGCTGGGGGCTAGAGCTGGGAATTTCTGCTGAGAATAGGCTGTTAACCAAACCGTAGGACTAAGGAGTGAAGAAAGACTTTTTCATGTGAGAGCCCCGTAAATGATTGTGGCCTGGGGAACCATGGTGGAGCCTGAGGTTTTGAGTCATGGCAATTTGGTGGCTGCTGAAGATAAGGGTCAGGCCTAGGAGGGACAAGCTCTACATAGGGCGTGCCTGGTATTGTTGAGGACTCTGGAAAGTGGTGAGAACGGCTCTGGTTAGGACAATGCTAACTCTGTCTGTCACTCTGTTTCAGCTGCTTTCTTCCAAGACTGCATATCTGAACAGGACCTGGATGAAATGAACATTGAAATAATTCGAAACACGCTGTATAAGGTAACTAGGAAAGGATAGAAATGTTAACTTCCCTGCTTATTTCTGCTGTGGCTTCAGCACTTCCCTGGGTCAGGAGTTCCAACCTTGCTTCAATCAAAGATGAGAGGGTATTTTCCTCTTAGTATAGACTTTTAAGGTAATTTTACTTTCTCTCTCTTTTTCTTTCCTGGAGTGGTAGGTAGAGTAAACATGACCAAGAACTAGTTGCACCCATTGGGAAGAGAAGGTAGTACTCTTGGAGGGGCCTGACATCCAGTCACCCAACTCTGCAGAGTCAGGGTGCCAGAACTAGGTGTTGTTTGGAGCTGTCAAGGGTGTCCAAGAGATTTTGCAGAGGTTATGCCTTAGAAATAAGTTTCCTCAGACTCCAGGCAGGCAGGAGAAGGCTGCTCCTCAGCCACACGGGTTCAGTTGTATAGTTAACTGCCTGCCAAGTGCTGAAGTGGTCAGATCTTAAACTTGGTTGAAGGGCTTCCATGGGCTTGGCTCTTGGAGCACTTTCAGAAGAGCCTTGAACAGTCTGCTCAAGCCTTCAGAGGCTGTGGTTGGAGTTAGACTCTCCTGATTGCGGGCTGGAGAGGAGTCCTGCAGGCAGGAGAAAGGCTTGGCACGGGGATGTGGAGGGACTGAGGACCTCTTTGCCCTGAGTCTGCACGGGGAGCTCCCGTCTGGTTTTAGCTGGCGGTATCAAGACACGTGTTTTATGTGTAGGCTGTGGCTATCGCTCCATCTGGACTCTCTGGATTAAGGGTGGGATGCAGATCGTATCTGCCAGCCTTGTTTTGCCTGGTTGCAGCCAGCTTGCAAAGTCAGGGTGACCTCTGCTTCCCAAGGAAGCCGTGGCCTGCGTGGAGAGGCAGAGAACAGGTCAGGCGTGAAGGGAAGAAGGCGAAAGGAGGGGAGAAGGGCCTCTGGCATGTGCTGGTAACGGGGGAAGGTATGGCTGGCTGCCTAAATACCTGCATCCTCCCAGGGTGCAGGCCTCCATGGGGAGACAAGGCAGGGAGCAGAGTGTGGGAGGTTTGTCCTGTCCTTTCCCAACTCCATGTTGAGGCCTGATACTGTTGCCACTTCGCATTCTGCTCTTCCTAAAAATCGAAGCGTAGATGCTTGGTACCCCTTGGCGTGTGCTGAGGCTGGTTCTTGTTAAAGAGCAGCCCCCGGGGAACGTGGAGGCTCCGTCCATAACAAATGACGAGGACACGAGGCTGGAAAAGGTAATGGCCACTTCCAGACTCTCGCTTGAAGCCACCTCTCTCCCCAGGGACTGGAAAATGCGTAATCTAATGCAAATGGTCTTCACGGGCAAATGAAGGAAATAAAATCAGGTCAGAAATCTGCACAGAGCTGCTCCAAGGAGCGCAGCGAGTGGGTGCCAGCGACGGATGCCTGCCTCCAGGAGGAGGTGGCGTGGGAAGAAGTGCTGCCTCCCAGGCCCGCCGGAGGTTTTGGGAAGGAATCTGCAAGCATGTAGGCAGAGGGGTTGGTCAGGATTCATAGGAGGAAACCAGTGGCAAAGGTTTCTTGTGTTAGCGGTGACAAGTGAGAAGGTTCTCGAATGGAAATTCGGTGAAGATGAGGAGCAGAGGTTAAAAGCGAGCGGTCAGCTCTTGGCACAGAGAGCGGTCAGCAGTGGAGTTTTGCCACGGAGGCATGCTGACATTGTTCTCTTCAGCGCTTACTCCCTTTTTTCCACATCTTTAATGGATATGTTGAAGTGAAGCTGTCTGACTGTTGGCCTTTGCTGGCGACCTCTTTGCAGGAACCAGCTGAAGGAGCTTTGTGACCGGACAATAAAATAGAGCGGGCAGATCCGTGTGGATAAATGTGGAGTGGTGTATGGGTGAGGCGAGGAGGAAATCCTAACTCTGCTTGTAACGGTGAGGGTCTCCCTTGTTCCTTTCTGCTATTAAATGAGATTTCGGTTTATGATTGACCTGAGCAAGTGTCTCTCTACAAGGCAATCTGCTCCTAACAAGAGAAAAGAGCTGCATGAATATCACATCTCCAGTGTATTTGTCCTGAACAGTGTCTTGATTCCTCTCCTCTGCGATCTCAGAATATGAACAGGAGGATGAGCAGTGACTAAAGCAGGGACTAAAAGCAGTGACTTCTGTGTGCGATTTCTGTTAGGATTCTTCACCTGGAAGAGGAGTGAACCTGAGCTGTGGTGGTAACCACAAATAGTGTTGGAAAAGTCAAGGTGGAGGGACAGACCCCAGGTCTCCCTTTAGGCTGGGTGTGACAGACCAATGAGCGTAGCAGGAGGCAGAGGCTAAATGTGTGGGTTCATGAACGTAAAAGTCTGCTAAGGACTGTTGAATGCAGAGACTGCAGCAGTGCTGGGATAAGGGTTTCAGGACACTGGAGAGTTGCTGTAAAGCGCTGTCGCCTGCGGAGGGGTTGTTGGGGAGGGTACCCAGCGCGGCTGCTCTACAGTCAGTGTTCCCGTGGTCTCTGTGAGACCGGCTCCTCATTCAGTGCTGGATATTCGAGTTCCCCTGTTTTGGCTTCTAAAGCCTGAGGTTTGCATGAACTCTGAGAAGGGCAGGGGTGGTGACTGAACCTCTTATGCAGGTTCCCTCTTCTGTCAGCCTCAAGCAAAGCCCGTTACCCCTGTCCTGGTTGCTGTGGTAGCTCTGCAGGCTGGTGGTTCGTGCTGTCCTGCACTCGAGCAGTGACAAAGTGCTGGAGACGATGTTTCTTTGATGTGTGATGCTCCCCCAAGCAGTGTCCTCTTGCACTGTGCGGTAACAAATGTTTGCAGAAATGCAGTAATCCAGGTACTTTCCTAGTGCAGGGGCTGAACGTGTCCAACACATGCATTCTTGGTCTGTCCTCAGTCCTGGAGTTGTTGTGACAAAGCAGAGCTTTGCGATGCCTCAGCATCGTTTTATTCCATCCCTTTTAAGTGATTCTGGTTGCAGCTCTCTGTCCAGGGAGGTATTTTTATCACATGATGACTTCTTCTGAGAAAGTTTTTTGCTGAACAGCACTTTTAGCCATGCACAGCCTTCATAGGCTCCCCTGGGAGCTACAATCATCTTCCAGCTGGATTAGGGTACATCTCCACAAAAGATTATGTTTCCTGGAGGCAGCGTAGCTGTGCCTTGCCTTACGCTTTCTGTGCGGCGCTCGAGTTGGGATGGAGACCAAGCGGCTGCAGTGTGAGAAGTACAGAGAATGGCGAGTTTCCCCCACAGATGTCCTGCCTCATCTCTTGACTCTGCTTACACAGCGGTACTTTCGGAGCTTAGGTCTTGCAGCTATAGTTGTGTGGCTTGGCGTGTTTGCGGAGGCCAGAGCCGGGTCAGGAAACCACGTGAGACTTGAGCGAACGCTTTGGAGTTAGATGACTCAAAGGACCAAAACAAGCCTCTTTTAACCTTGCTGCCTGGGGATCTTGCCTGCAGTAAGCTCAGGCAGTCTCTCGAACAAACCCAACCGCAACCCTTCATGTGTCCAGCTCCTGGGAAAGCTCTGTCCCTTGTTTAGGCTTGGCATCCAAGTTTGCGCAGGGTGAGAGTGCCTGTGCTGTGTTTCAAAGCCTCTGCTTGCTGTCTGTCCCGTGCTGCTTGGGTGGCCCTTACAGGGCAGTAGGTGAAGCTATGTGGAAGAGTGCTCTTCTGCTTTCTTTCTTCCAGGCTTACCTGGAGTCCTTCTACAAGTTCTGCAAGGTGCTGGGAGGTACCACGGCGGATGCCATGTGCCCAATCCTGGAGGTAGGTCTGGAAACACCCGCAGCTGGACGGTTGCAGTGATATTTGTTGCTCTGTGCTCAGGCCTGGCATTGAGGATGCTTGAGATACTCTTGAGCATCCCCATGCGTGATCGGCCTGCTCACGGGGAGAGCTGGGAAAACGCTGCCTGCACGTGACTGTGGACAGGTTTGGTTCCCCAGTCCCGCTCTTGTCAGGTGCTGACACATCTTTTGCCTTCGTAGCAGCATCTTCATCCTTTTACACGGACAATGAGCAGGAGAACAAGCAGAGCTGTTGGGTGCATGGCCTGTCTCTGTGCCAAGGGTAGTTGTGGGATATGCAGGCCTCGGGGGCAGGGGGTGAGAGAGATTTTTTGACCTGCGCAGGGTTCTGCTTGTACCTACTGGCCTCTGGCAAAGATGGTGTATCCCAAGGT